CGGGGCTCCCCCGCCCGCTCCGTACCTGGGGCCGCCGCGGCGCGCTGGGCTGGCGCGGCGGGGCGGGGCCAGCCTTAAAGGGACCGCAGCCGCAGCGCCTTAAAGGGGCTGGGTCTCCCGGGTCGCCGCCGGAATCCGTCCCCGCGGTGGCTGCACGGCTGCACTGCTCCGGAGCCGGCTCCCGAGGGGTGTGCCCCTCTGCTGGCCGTGAAACGGTGTGTATATGTATATGGTATGTGCTATACACATCCCGTTGTAAGTGAAAATATACATAAATTCATATATATATTCAACGAGATGTGTATGGTATGTGTATATGTATATACAAGAGATATATACACGTATGCACTATATACATCTCGTTATATTTGTGAATAGACATAAATACATATATATACATAAATTTGTATCCATAAATATATCTTTATATATATATTTATATATATATTCAACACGATGTATATGTTACATACGCCCATATATGCGTAGATGAGTGTATACTGTATCAGTACACATTTGTCTGGCTGATGGACTGATACTTTACTATTTGCTCTGGGATAACTAAAATGTTGCGGCTGGCAGCCAAAGGTTGAAATGCACACATTTAGCTGAAAAGTGTGTGATACCTTCAGATAAACCATAGAAATGTCAACTCCTTCCCAGCCTTGATTATTCTACATTCGTGGTTCCAAAGGACAAGCCAACTAGAAAATCAGAGGTCATTTGTGTGGCCTCTAAAAGAATGGGAAAAGCACCAACAGGGGGTTGCACGATGTGTGCTACCTCCTGTGACACTAGGGTGCTAGAAATAAATTGTTTTCAGAATCAAATCCCATCTACTTCTTTTCAAAGGAGTATTCTCCTCTGCAGGGTCCTCTCTGGATTTGTCAGGTTCACTTCATCTGTCCAAAATGTGACAGAAATCTGGTGCAGTTTTAGACACAATTCTTTGACAGCAGGTCCTCCTGCCTGCTCTCCTTACAGCTTTGAAATGCATGTGGCATCTATAGCCAGTTCTGTGCTAGCAAGTAGTATGTGTGGCTCAACAGGAGCAGGCCTTTAAAGTTACAAGAATTGATGCTGGAAATACGACATCCACACCAAACATGCTTGAGGAGCTTCACTTTGGACTATGTCTTCCTTGGTCACCTGGACAGCACACCAGTTAGTGGTTGACGGCCATGAGGCGTGCCCTACGTGCAGCTTAGCACCACCAAAAAGGAATCCTGTTTGCACACAAGGCTGTCCTGCAGGACAAACCCCAGCCCAGCAAGCAGGGATTACTGGAAGATTCATTCTGAAAGCACACTTCTGGTATCCTGGAAGATTAAAATAAGACTCACTGCTATTACTGAATGCCATTGCTATGTGTGCTGTGGTCAAGGGTTAGCAAGAGCACTTGAAAAGAGAGGGATGGAGAATGCTGTGGGGCAGAATCCCAAATTACTTGCAAGAAGAAGAGGTGGGCAAGGCTGCTCCTAAGTAAAACCAAGAGACTGCACAAAGACATGGAAAAGGGAGGTCTAGACATTGAGATAAGGCATGGACAGAAATCCAAAAGCCATCCCAGACTGAGCATGGAGGAAGACATGAAGTAGTTTTGATTTGTAAATATTTGGAACAAGGTTTTGGGGTATGCCAGTGACACCAGCTTGGCCTTCTGGTTCATGACAGGGACAAGGAAACACTGCTCTATAAAAAAAAAAAAAAAGCCCCCACAGCCTTCCTTCTGAAGGGCTGGATAGCCTTTTATCCCTTAGAGTCCCAAAAGACTTTGATGCAACTGGGAGGACCAGAAGTGGCAGTGGTGGCAGAGCATCCAGGACAACCACAGCTATGGTTGTTGGTGGATAAGTATCCTGCTGAAGCAGGATACAACTATTTCTGCTTGCAGGAAGAAAGCAGAGGGTCCAATCTAAAGGCAAGAGGAAAAGAAGCAGAGTCAATGCACCCCTGCAAGTGAAATGTAAATAATTTGGCAGAAAGAACTAAAATATCAGGGGGCCTCAATAACTCTTGGATAGATGAGAGAAGAAAATAGTACTGCTCCTGAAAAGGCTATTCCAGGCTCTGCATCCTTCACCTGTTCTGCGTACCAATACTCTGCTGAAGGTCCAGGGACTGATGGAAACCAGTGACAAAACGGAGGTTTCTGTCTAACTATTCCCCATCCTAACTTTTTGAAATTCATTATTTCTTTCCAAGTGCAAAACTTAGCACGTGCTTTTATTAAATGGTGTTTCTATATTTTCAGGCTATTTCTCGCATTGATCAAAACCATTTGTATACAAATTTTCTCTACCAAATCCTTTGCAACCCCTCTCAGGTTAATGTTGTCTACAAATTTTAATAGACACAATTTTCTAGTCCGCTGTATAAATCACTGAAAAAAACCACCACTAATAGCACATTGACAGCATGTTTCTGCAGGACTCCTTGATATTTCTTTACAGATAGACAGCATAGGATCAAAAACTAATCTTAGAATTTTCCAATCGGCATCAGACTCTCCCAACAGTGATTTCAGTAGATCCAGTTTCCCGTGTTTCTGAATGTGCTTGTTAGACTGTCAGATGAAACAGAGTAAAAATCCTACTGAAATCAAAAATTTAGCATCTATTGTTACTTTCTTGACCACAAGGACAAGTCTGCCATGAAAGATTGGTTTAACTTGATCTCTTTTTGGAAAATGCGAGTTGACTACATCATATTTATTAGTTCTAGTAACACAGGGGAAGGCAGTAAAATAATGTTGGCTGGCCAGTAATTAATCAGATTTTCTTTTTTAAATGGCCAATATATTTTGACTTTTCCAATCTTCTGAACCACTCCATTGTCTAGATATCTCAAAGATAAGAGCCAGTGGGCCATTCTCCAGCTCTCCAGCCATCATAGGATGGAGTTCATCAGTCCTAATTGGTCTGAAAACCTTGACTTTCCCTAAGTGCTTAGAAATGTAAAATGGCTTTTTCCCCACTTGCAACTGGTACTAGTTAAGATATTCACCTAGCCAACACCACAGCGAAGACAAGTGAAAAATGGTTGGAGCTTCTACGTATCTTTGACCAGTTTCCAATTTCACTGACCAGAAAGCCAGTCTTTTTACTGATCTTCCCCTCATTGCCCAGGTAGTGACAGGCGCTATTGTTGGGTGAGCTGATAGTTCTGTTCTTTTCCACCGCAGATAAGGTACTCATTTCCTTTTCAAAATATCTTTGCACTTAATTGGACTCAGTTGCCATGTCTTTCTTAATTCCTTCTCTAGACTAAAGGCTGCATTTTATTTTAAACCTTCTGCTTGTGTAGTCAAAGTAGTTATTGCCCTCTGTGGATTCACTTCCCACATTTGTCTCTGTTGTAGCAGTGTGGTACCCAAACTGGACACTCAGCCCTGTGTCACTCAGCGCTGTGAGTGAAGTCACAGCAGTACAGAGCTGTTCTGACAGCTTGTTTCATCTGACCTACAGGCTATCCTCCTAAACACATAAACTGATCTGATGTGTGCCTTTTTGGCAACAGCATCATGTTGATGTACATTCTTCTTTTTTTAAGGAAGATGATATTCAATGAACTCTGATGCGCTCTGAAACTGTGCCTTTGAAAAAACAACAGATGATCTTTTGCTCCTAAATATTCAGTCTTTCTCACACTGATCCCCCGAACTTCAAAGTCATGGGTCTAATTTATTCAGAGGGTTGGGGGTTTTTGTGGAGACTAAACATCCGAAGAAGCTTCTCCGGTCCCATGAGCGAGGACGAGCGTCAGGAACGACTTGGCTCTGCTCTTGGACCCATCGCTTTCCCATGGTCAAAAAAAAAAACCCGATCAATTCGCCTCGGCTCCACTATTGCAAAACAAAGACGAGTTTGTTTAAGTTCGGGGGGGCGGTTTGACGGCTTGCGGGGGGTGTGGTTGTTGGTTTGTGTTTAATGGAAGAGCCTTGAGTGGCCGGGCCGAAGGAGCCGAGTGAGCCCTCACCCGTACATCTGCAGGGAGCGGCCCTGGGTCCCCTCACGGCGCCCCGCCCGCCCCTTCCGCCGCTCCTGCGGGCGGGCCGGGGCCGCAGCGCCGGGGCCATGTCGCAGCACAGCACCCTGCTCCACCTGCTCGCCGGAGGGTGAGTGCCCCGGGAGGCGGAGGGGCAGGAGGGCGGGATTCGGGCCGCGGCTCCGGCAGCAGCCGCCGCCGGGGAGCCGGGGCAGAGCAGCCCCCGCGGGTGCCCGCGGGCCGCGGCTGTGCCGGGTCCCGGTCGGGGCTCGGCGCCGTGCAGCAGCCCCGCAGCGCCGGCGGGAATGTCTGGCTCCGCGGCTCGGGAAGGCGGAGAGCCTCCCGGTGAGGACGGGGAGTTACATCCAGCCGGGACCTGCCGGGGATGTGGGGCAAGGGAAGCGGGGTGCTGAACGAGAGGCTTCACGGGGCCTCTCCGGCGGGACAAGTGGTGGGGCATCCATGTGTTCGGGAGGGCGGCCAGCTCTCTCCATCAGCGCGTGGCTGAGATTCCTGTGTGACTTCTCTGGCTTTAAATAGTGCGGCTGTTTCTGGTGAGTCAGCTGTTCGGATCCCAGCGGTGCCCCTCTGCATTAGAAGCGTGCCCTTGAGCAAGTGATTTGTCCCGTGGCGTTTCCCCCTTCCTCTCTTTAAAGTCTCAAAACAATGACCTTCAAGTAAGTTTATGGTGCCCTAAAGCAGAAGATAATGTGGACCTCCGGACTTTGCTGAGTAACTGCAGAAGTCCTCTGCTTAGGCAGCCACCTAGTCCCTTTCAAATCGCACCAACCTGCTGGAGTCCGTGTGACAGTGAAGCCTGTGATACTGCATGTACAATAAGGCACATAATTTAATTGCTTTTAATTGGTAGATTTCCAGTTTTCTGCAGCTAATGCAGTTCTTGTGCTATGTCAATCTTTGCATACATGTACTTGTCCTCTCTGTTCCCGTTGTTATTTTGTACATGTTATTATTTTATTAATTTATCCTTTGAACTGTATAATCATTGCATCTTAGACTTTCTTAATACATAATTCTTTCTTAGTTTTCTTAAGCTTTTCTTCATCTTTTTCCACCATGGTTCCTGAAAAACTGAGAGTTTGGCTAGTGACAAGAATGTCACTAGTGGGAATGTTGTCAGTCTGTATCTCGTCCTCATCCATTAATCAATCCTCCTAAATTACAGCTAATTAAAACTATAGGGATAATAATGTGAATAAGATATGAATGAGAAGTTCAGTTTATTGCTGCACTATATTTAATATTACTGGTTTATGTAATGAAACAAAACAGGGTCTCATTCATGAAGGAACAGTTCTCCACTTCCAGTATAAGAACTGGGGACCAGCCAAAGAAACTTGTGAGAGGTTTCTTCAGAGCTAATGCAAAAACATAGTTCTTTCAACAGTGTGCAGTTAAACTGTGGGACTCCAAGCCGCAACATAGTTGAGGGTAAAGGCTTCTCATGTATCCAGGAAGAATTTTGAAAAGATGAAGGAAAAATAATGTGTTGAAGGCTGCTAAAAGCAAGGCAACATTTCTGGCTGAGGAAGTCCCTGAACTGAAAGTTGTGGGAAGCTGGGAGAGTGTTCTGGAGGTACTTCTCCTACTCTTCTGTAAGTAACCTTTATTTGTCTGTATCCTAGGCAGAAACCTGGTTTAACTGCAGGTTTGCCTGATCCAGCATTGCTATTCTTAAATGAAGATCTTCAACCCATCTTAATTTTTGGCTAGCCTAAGTAAGAGCTAACATGAATTACCAGTAAACCTTGTCACCTTTTGCATGTGCTTATACACTTTTTAGATAATTTTAAAAATGTTAACAGTGTCTTTTGTATTTCTCAACTAATTCTTTTCTTGCATCACCTCAAACTTGTCGGTTTTCCCTTTAAAATGTGAAAGCAAGATCTAGAGGCAAATACCATTTTCTAAGGTAAAATTACCCGCCTTCTTCAATTAGCACTTTTTGCCATGGCTTTGCTCTCAGAGTACATGTTGTACTCATTTTTATGTGCTGCTCTTCATCCTATTTTGCAGAAATTGCTTTAGTTCCTGCTTCTATAGTAATGATACATAATTTTCCATTTCTCCTGAAACAGAAGAATTTTGCAGACCTATGTCTTTCATAGAGTGTAAGCAGATGTATCATCATGTAATGCATGGTAATATATCCCAGTTGAGATTTCTTCTAGTTTTGAACAGCTGGTACCCCTCATTTCCTTAGCTTAAATTAATGGGTGTTCTTTTTTCCTTTTGTCTTGCCATTGAGACATAGTGGCTCATAGTGGCCCTTCACCTCACAGTCTCTTTCTGCCGATTAAATGGCCAAGGAGTAACAATTTCTTTAATTGTTATTCTTGCTTTTATAATACTTTTTTATTCTCTGTATGTATCAGTAGTTTCAGGAGCTTGACCTCAGGAAACTTTTATATATACTGGAAGCATGTGTTCAAGCTCAGATCCTGACCATTGCAGGTGAGGACTTCTTCAAGAAGTTAGATATTAAGAGAACATTGCATAAACTTTTGCTTCCTTATGCACTATTAGAGAGAAGAATTAATATACCAATCAATTGCTTCTCTCAATGTCTTCCTGGTGTATTGTTTGCTCAGCTTTGAGATAAGGAGTTGAAACTGCCCTGTATGGACCTTTTAAACCTTGATCTGTCACCACTGTACTCAGATCTTCTCCTGAACTGGAGACTGTACTCCTGGTCAAAGAAACAACAGACATGTAAGTCTGGAGCCTGTATAAAACAAATTAATAGAATCTATGGTAAAGAACAGATTGTTGGACCCCTAAGTGAATATGGTCTGTATGGGAAGAATCAACGTGGCCTTTGTATAAGAAGACCCTGCCTCATGCAACTCTGGATTGCTGCGTAGGCTGTGTCTTGGTGTCTGTGCTTAATCCACTTGTTCACTCAGAGAACCTGAGCCAGGGTGTTCACTGCTTTGCTGTTTGTTGTCTTCTGAGCTGGAGCTAAATTCAGGAGTCATGTTGCCAGACTCCCACCACTCATCATATACCTCGTGAGGGAAATTGCTGCTGATGGACTGCTCTGCAAGTCGTCACCATATCTGCCAGATGTGTACATCTGCCAAGGGCTTGACAAAGCAACGTGAGTGTTATGGAATAGCATAGCTAGTTGCTGGCATCATTAGCTGCATAATCTCCTAGCTGCCATATCTTCAACTCTTGGATGTCAGTGCAATAGGCATCCAGGTCTCTTTTTTTTCTCTTTTTTTTTGCCCCCATTCCTGTTGGCAATGATAATGAAGCCCTAGGAGCAAAGGCTGTGAGAATACTGTGTATGTCCACTGAGCTGTATAGACTTTTTCAAAATAGTTCTTCAGAACTCTCGCTATTTGCTGTCCTGCACTGTCACATGTAATTCTGATGATATACCTGACACTTCCCTGATATCTTGTAGTTCTTTGGTTGGCTTTTCTTTCTTTGGAGCAGAGTGAGCTTTTTATTAAGCCTCTATCTCTTGTGAAGCAAAGCAACTTTGGCTGTAGCGGATGTGAATGATCATCCATTTGTCAAAGCCTCTTGCATGGCTTACATGCAAATTCATCTCAAAATGGTCTTTCAGGTACTGAGCATCCTCTAGAAGAGCAGAGTTATCAGTCAGAGGATTTAGAGGAGCAGAAGCTGAAAACCAAATGTATCAGTTCTGACTTGTCCCTGGGTGGTGGAAAGGGAAAAAGCGGATATGTGTCCTTTCAGCATTCCTGCAGTGTGACGAGACCCGTTGATGGAGATGGTTCACGAGTTCCAAAAATAGGTTCTGCCTGCTGAAGGTCAGGGTCCTCTTTCATTAAGCAAGCCAGGCTTGGAGAGAGCCTGGCTGTTGGCAGAAAATACAGATCTTGCTTACAGGGCCTTGCAAATGTGTGTCTGATGTAATTATGGATTAAAGACACAGGCAGGCTGAGAGATGGGAGAGTTCTGTGCTGCCCCTGCGTGAGCTGGTGTGGCTGTGGCGACATGTGGGCCACAGTGCCTGGTGACCTCAGCAGAAGGCTTTGCAGTGAGGATGGGCAGTAGAAATGCTGGCCCGGGGGACTGCTGAGTCCCCATGGACTTGGGACTCTTTGTCTCAAATACTGAGTAAGGTTTCAGAGTGAGGCTGCCAGATGATGTCCCAAGCAGAGCTGTTCCGTTAATCAGTGTCAGAGCAAGAGGTCATGTGTGACACAGGCTGGGGTACCGAAACTCCTCTTCCAGAGGGGAGAAGTTGTGGACAAGCAGGGTCAGAATTATTGCCCTGTTACGGCACAGAGATCATTCTTAAATGTGCTGCTATACCCTAGATGTGGTGGTACAGCTGGAGCCATCCTGACCTGTCCCCTGGAAGTGGTGAAGACACGTCTGCAGTCATCCCAGCTGGCGCTGCGGCCTCTGTACCTCCCAGAGATACAGCTGCCAGGGATGAGTGTGAGGCTGATGAATCCCACCCCACCGTCTCCTGGAGTGCTCAAGTTGCTGAGGTGAGCAGGACAGGGCAATGTGCATGTTAGCACCAGGGAGGTGATGGTTTGGCCATCATGTGGAGGGTGTGAGGCAAGAGATAAAGAGAATTGAGCTGAGACTCTGGAAGCCACAAGTGCAATAGAAAGTTTGATCAGAGCACAGGTATATCTGCTTCTCACCAGTGATCTGTGCTCTGCAAAGCACCTTAGGGGACTGTGAGAAATTTCTCAGCTAGTGGTTTGATCAGACCCAGAGGGATGGCATTATCAAGAATAGGATGACTAGTGTAAAATGTAGTTTGAAATAGATGATCTTTAAGGTCATTTCCAACCCAAGCATTTCCAGGTTCCATGACCAAAGGAGACAGGAGAAGTGATTGGAGAGAAAACGAGAGCAGGGAAGAAAAAGAATAACATAGGAAGTGAGGAGAGGGTGCTATGAGAAATACTGAAGAACAAAGAAGGAGGAGGAATAGGAGAGCCCGCACCTTAGTTATTCTGCTGATTTCTCTGTTCCTTTCCTTCTGTAGGGCCATCCTTGAGAAGGAAGGCAAACGGTCCCTGTTCCGAGGTCTGGGTCCAAACCTCGCTGGGGTTGCTCCTTCCCGGTGAGTACTGCTCCATGGCAGTGCCTCCTCATGTTGTACACTTTTTAAGGGAACTGTGTCGTAAATGTTGCTCCACTTTCTGAAAGCTGTCTGGGCCTTGTGCTTACATGCCCCTCACACAGACATCTTCTGGAGCTTCTGATCATAGTGTTAACATTAATCCTGTGAGCCAGGTATAAATGGTATCTGATGTCATGTTAGACAAAACTGTGCTGGGAGTAAGAAAAGTTGGAGTGAAACTGCACAGTAGTGTCTCTGCTCCTCACAGGGGAGCTGTAACCTCTTCTGTATTTTTTTCCAACCAGGGCTATATATTTTGCTGCGTATTCTGCTACTAAGGAGAGGCTTAATACTGTCCTGGTACCAGAGTCCAAGAAAGTACACATACTAGCAGCAGCCTGTGCAGGTGAGCCTTTTCTATCTCAAATCAAAGCCAAGAGGTCCTTCTGTCTGGAAATGTCTATGTGTTTCATTCCTTCTCCATTGCTATTCTGAAGTTTTCTTCTTCCACATGTGGAGAAGTGAGCTCCTTGGGTAACAAAATGTTTTCTCACTCTTCATTCTTCTTGGGCTCATCTCTTGAAGTCTAGTCTTTACCTCTTCAGCTGCTGTCATGAGCTCTATTCTGCTGTGAGAGGGAGAAGGCAGTGTGTAATTCAGGCTACTCACAGAACCATTTCTCTTGATATATCCCAGTTCTCTAACAAAATCCTCCACTCTTGCAAAATTAGCATGCTGTTTCCTGCCTTTTTGTAACACCCGGGCCTGTTAGTATGGTTTTGTTGGAGGCAGAGGAGCTAATTACCACTAGACAAAGGCTAGAATAGGGGAGGAGGAGAATCAAATAGTCTGCCCTGAATATCTCTTCTCAAGGTCATTGTCAAATTGCAAATGCTTGCAGCTTGCCAAACAGAGCTCAGAGAGCTGATAGATCAGCACCTCTTCACTAACTGTCAGCGTGATCCTGGCACTCACTGCTGTCTTCCTTTTCTGTTCCCCAGGCATTAGTTCAGCCACACTCACCAATCCCATCTGGTTAGTGAAAACCAGGATGCAGCTGGAAGCCAGGTAAGGCAGTGCAGCAGTGCAGAGCCACTCGATGTCACATCAGGATTGGATTGGGGGGGTGGTGGGCAGAGAGAGGTCTGTGATTTCTCGTCAGAACATGGCAAGTCTTAGGCTGGGCAAGAGGTTTACGGCTGTGTTCACAACAGCACTATAGGCCAGGTGCAGTATGCTGTCCTAACCATCTCCCTTCTTTCCAGGGTGAAGGGGGAGATGGCCAGCAACGCTCTCCAGTGTGCCATGCACGTGTACCGCACTGAAGGCCTGCGTGGATTTTACCGTGGGATCACTGCCTCCTATGCGGGAGTGTCAGAGACCATCATACACTTTGTCATCTATGAAGCACTGAAAAAGGAGCTGAGAAACAGCCAGCATTCCCCTTCCCCATCACTCACAGTTCCACCAAACAACGATGATTTCTTCGGACTAATGTGCGCTGCTGCTGTCTCCAAAACATGTGCTACATGCCTTGCATATCCACACGGTGAGTGGGTCCACCATCCTTGCTTCTGTCCCCCTGGGGGGAGATGCCATGCCCGTGGGATCCATCTGCTAATATATGGCTTCCCTTCTTGTCTCTCCAGAGGTCATTCGGACACGGTTGCGAGAGGAAGGGTCACGGTACCGTTCCTTTACACAGACTCTGCAGCTCGTGGCCCGTGAAGAGGGACCCTTGGCGTTATACCGGGGGCTCCTGGCGCACCTGATCCGCCAGATCCCAAACGCAGCCATCATGATGGTGACCTATGAACTCATCATACATTTGGCCTCTTCTACCTTGTAAGCTGTAGCACTTGGCTGAGGCTGCTGTGGAGATGTAGGGACATCGTGGTCCTGAGACCTGGTCTTTTGCAGTGCTCTGAGAGGTGGTGCTTTTTGTCACGGGTCAGATCTGGGTCGGGCATTCTCAGGACACAACGACTACTTTGTGCCAAGTTTTTTGCTCCAACGTGCACAGTGTAGTTTTTTTTTCCTTCTGGAGACTTGAATTATTCCAGTGCTTCAAGATGTCAGGGCACTGGTTTGACAGTGCCTGTTGTAAACATCCTTGATGAAACAAAGGCATGGAACTTACTGGGAAGTAGACAAAGCAGAAGAGTGTAAGAGTGTCTTAGCCCCAGCATGTTCACTTCTTTTGGACCCCGTAGCAACCTTACATAGGCACAGTTAGGCATGAAGACAGGCTAGAGCTGAAACACCTGAGAGACCTGCAGCAAGCAGAGATCTTGTGTTGCAACCTTTGCCCTCAGAGGGGCTCTTCCACTCTCACCTACTGTTCTTGCCACTAAGGAGGATTTCTCAACCTTGGCTGCCAACAAATTGCAGAATTTTCCTTTGGGTCCTTCACATGTTACAGCCGTTGCCCCAACATGTGTGAGGCAGCTGACAGCCCCTTTTTGTCTTGCAGGGTCTGAAAAACCAGACCAAGTAGATCCAGGGAAGCAGCACAACCTGCTCTGAAGCACTATCCTAACAACTCATGCTACTGCTGGGCTCAGAGCCATGCTGTGCTAGTATTTGTTGTGTTTCCACCCCCTCCATGCTCAGCAGAAAGAGGAAAATGCCTCCTTCCCCTAGAAGTGCTGGAGCTGTTCTACAAGCTGAAGCCCCTGATATAAAAAATACTCTATCATACTGATAAAGAAAGCAGATCAAGTGAGAAGATAGATGAAGCTACAGAGATTTGGCCTGTTTCTGTTGATACACTCACTAAGTGTATGGGAAGAGCCTTATTTATTTTATTTTCCTGTGTTCAAGATTTCAGTTTGAGTGCCTTCTGTTCCTCTGTGAGTCCCTAGCACTGAGTCCTGGGGAAGGCTACATTTTGTTTAGAGAGTATTTTGACTCTCAAAAAGGCAGGGAGTAGAGTGGTGAGTAATGTGTTTTTCTTGTTTCATCACATATGCTAAAAAATGTAACCCTTCCCCAAGATAAGGTAGCAATTTCAGTAAATACATGCTCTGGACAAGCTCCAGTTTCACATTAGAGGCTACACTATTTCTTTCCCTGGTTGTAGTGAAAAACTGCAGAAGTCCTGAATGTTTTATTTGAAATCCATTTATTTTAAAATCCACTTTGTTTCCTCATCTTTCTTACCTTCATTCATTTAGTATTAGGAGTATTGACAATTTTACAAAGCGACACAAAGCTGCAGTGGTTTGTTGGTTGTTTGTTTTTGTTTTTTTTTTTTGTTGTTTTTTTTGCATGAAACGAGAATAAACCTCAAATGACAACATTGAAAAAATATACAATATATATATATAATATCTGGGGAGGTTGTGAGAAACCCCACTTTGAGCCCTATGGCTGGCTCTGCCTTTCAGATTTCCATTCTTTCCAAGACCTTCATCACAGTTTGAACCATGCCACCACCATGTGTAGGTGCCCTGACACATGTTTCTGGAGAGCCAGATGGGGGGTCAATAATGTGGGGAATGTCCACAACGAGAATGGCAGAAGATGAAGGAACATGGGAGGCAGAGGTGATCAATGAGGGAGGAGCACATGTGTACACGGTAGGGGGGGAAAGAAGTTGAAAGTAAGACACCTCCTCCTTCCTGCCATACGTTTTGGGGGGATCCACTGGGCGCGTGTTTTAAAGCTCCTAGTAGCGGTGAGAGACGTCACTTTTGCCGATGATGTGCCGGTCATTCATGTCACTGCTGTCCGGGGAGTCGGGTGTCTCCGAGTCGGTGCTGTCGTCATCATCCTCCATGCCCTGGCCAGCTCTGCCCTCCACACTCCCTGCTGCCCTCTCCTGACAGCTCTGGTAGGACTGGGGAGGTGAGATACGGGGTAAAGGGAAAGGTCTGACAACACAACTGCCCGCCCAGCCCCTGCCACAGTGGCTGCTCCTCACCTCCATGGGGTTGACGATGATGGTGAGGGCTGAGTCATCCCAGAACATGTCACTCTCTTTGCCTCCAGCGCTGGTGTGCCCCGACTCAGCAGCCCCAGGGACCTCTTGCCCCACTCCCCGCCGGTGCAGGGAGTGGATGCGCAGGATGCCGAGGATCACCATCAGTGCCAGGAAGCCCACACACACCACAATGATGACAGTGGCAGCGCTGGGGACCACTTTGAAGAAAGAAAGCAAGAAGTTGTGTCTAGACTCTGTCACAGAAACATGCATTTCCAACCTGACATGCAGGAACTGAGATCCCTGGGCAGAGCTTGGGTTTTGGGTCGATGCAGGAACACAGCCTGACTTGTCTGTGCCCCTGGGCACAGGCAGTTCCTGCGATGTCAGCCTGGCCTTAGACTCTGCACATCTTTATCTACAGAATTCACCAGAATATGTTGCACCGCGTATATCTGTATCCTGCTCTCGGGAGGGAGAAATGTGTGCGGGGGACAGCCTGTAAGGGCTCAAGGATGATTTTCAGAGAGTGATTTCTGTGCAAACAGTAGAGAAAGTAAGAAGACAAAAGGTGCCTTTGTTGCACATGGAGCAGATGTGAATGCTGTGTTGGGCTTATAATTAGTGCTGTGGCAAAAGCCTGGCTTCTCCACAGGAGAAAACCTTAAATTCATCTTACCCCTCGCCTGACTCCCACGTGTTTGTTTTAGGCCTGTAGACTGAGCCTTAACTCCCCAGATAACCACCTTCCCTGCAAAATCTATCTGGGCCCTCCACAAATTTGTTTATAGTTCTATTTAGCAGGGACAAGTTTGCTGCTGCTATCAGGCAGAGCTGGGGAAGGGGGGGGCAAAGGCTGGCACATGCACAGGCTGCCCCTGCAGTGCCAGCTGCAGGACTGGACCAGCTTGGGATCAGCTGCTGCAGGAAGCTTCAGCAAAAAGTAGCTCAAAGGTGCCTTGTCTGTTCCATACAACAAGGGAACTTGCTTGTCTGTAGCAAGTCCTGGAGCTTTCACAGCCCAGGAGGAATCAATTTGAGTGTGGTCACGCCGGAGGCACAGGGCTACTGGCACAAACAAACGTCTAGTTTTCAGGCTTCTCTCTCTTTTGGGGACAAGAATTCTCCTCTTGTCTGCATGGTGCTATCTCCTGTATTTTCCTGCCTTGCTGACCACCACCTACTCCCATTTCTTTCTTTAGAGCAGTGGCAGTCTTGACTCACTTTTCTCTCCCGCTGTTGTAGCTTCTTTCTGAAATTACTTTACACAAGCCCATACAGCACCTTTGCAAGGTGCATGAATGAAGTCAGCTTACAGTTATTCTTTTTAGACCCTATGAGATGTAGATTTCAGTCTGCTTCTACATTAAGAAAATAATAGCCCACAAGAGGATTGTTGCTGCATGCTCTAAAATACAATTTGACAAGGACTGCAGTCCACTGGCTAACAATGAGTGGAATAGGACAGTATAATGAGAACCTGATAAGGTTCAGGAGGAACATCTCAGGCAGGGAGCCTGAGAGGAATCCTCCACTATAGGTTCTGCCAGGATATCAGAAAATCAGCATCCTGATCTAAAGGAATGAACCCAAAAGATAGTGTTACATACTCGGGTTGTTGTGAGTGCTTGCCAAACTGTGCCCAGACAGCTCTGCAGGTAAATGATGGCCTCGGTGCACAAACTGCTGGGAGCTCAGAATATGGTTAGGATGAGCAGCTCGGTTCATGTTGTGGAGAACATTCACCTGCAGAAAGACCAGAGAGAGGGGGGACTCAACCCTGTGCCCATGGCACATTCCATGCATTCCCATGCACCGCATCCTCCCCATGCATGCCTCTGTGTCCATGTATCAGTCTTGTACCTCGACAGTAAACTCATTGCTGGAGTAGCGTCCATTCATCTCAGTGCAGGACAGGTGAAACTTCCTTTCATAGAGGGCAGCACCGTGGTTGATATGGTAGGAGACCTGGCGTAGGATCTCCTCGTAAACCGCAATGCTTTCCACGCCTGAGACAAGAAGACAGGGGTGGGGTGAGCAAGCTCTTGCTCCAAGGTCACCTGGCATCCTAACCCTGCAGCAACTAGAAGCTATAGAGGGAAGCAAGGCAATGCTGGGTTTGTTAATTTTGGAAGATAGAGCTGGCTGTGAATGACCTGATGGAATCCCTGCTTGCATCGCTAAAACAAGTGGAAGGGAAGGAAGGATTGAGAGCAACAGCCCTGTTACATTCTGGAGAGTAAAGAAGTGTTGTACCACAAGTTGTGGAATATCTTGTCCCTGTCGTGTCATGACATCCTAACGTCAAGTGCTTCTCCCAGTGATGCCTGACAGTCGGTGACAGAGGCATAACTAGATAGCTGTGACCATGGAGAGGACTTACCTGTGATGGTCAGGTAGGCAGAGGTGTTAACGAGCTCCAGGCCCCGCTGCTGCAGCAGTGCCCCATCCAGGAGCAGGTACTCCCTCTCTGGGTCCAAGTCATCTCCCACCAATGAGATCTCACAGCCATCCAGGTTGTGCACAATCTCATCTGACATTCGTGTGTCTGTCACTGAGATGCAAACAGAAAGAAGGTATGGCCAGAAAGCCAGACAGCCATCAGAGAAGGAAGGAGTTACTCAGTGGGGTACCTGCTTACCTAAGAGTGCTCACATCCTATGTAAGTACTGCTTCTCCACCTAGCACTGACCTTAAGTAAAATCACTGTCAGTCTAACTACTTGTTGCAGGATGGTTCTAATGACATTATCTATGCACATAATAAAGTCACTTTATTTTGGAACAACATACTATTATCAGTCTGGTTCATGATAACACATCTTGGCTGTAAGGACTTTGTTGACAATGACAGTGTACAAATTAGGAACAACACTCACACATTACCAGGCCCTGCAATGCATTTGAAAGCTTTTCCCTGTCTCACACTGTTGGTTACCATGGTTGAGATCTTATCTTCTATAAAATGGCAACCACATTCAATAACTATCTGCTTTCAGTAGGATTGAGAACAATGTGCTCGTAAGTCAAGGAACTCATCATTGTATGAGGAAAGGCAAAGCTTCAAACAGAAAAGTAGGAGCAAAAAATCCCATTACCAGAACAGATATGAAAGAAGTGAATGGACACGTAGAGCATAGACTGCAGAGAAATAACCTGAGCATGATGGAAAGAAATTGAAGAACAGGATACTGTAGGGTGTGAGGAAAATGACTGGGGAATTCACAGGAATAAGTGAGGCAGGAAGAGAAGGAAGGGAGCAAGAAGTAAGAAAAGAAAGCAGGAGAGAAGGAAGTAGGATGAGACTGCATAAGTGCAGGAATAGAGAGAGTAACAGGCAGGACATCCATCCAGCACTGGATTCAATAAAGGGAAATGTAGGTAAAATGTGAAAGGGATTAGGAATGAGCAGCCTGGGAAAGAATTAGGAGAGAGTGAGGCAAAGGAACTGAGTGGATAGAAAAAGTACAGGGAGGAGCAGAAAGGGATAAGAGCCGATTAGCCTACATATTGACAGACAATGTGCCTTGCTTCTAAATTTGTAAACTCTCGCTTTTGGGTGTAATTATAGGGGCTCTACTTCCTCTGCAGGACCGCAACTCTTGTAGGTCTTTCCAGTTTGTCTCTTACACCTTGCCCTGTACTCCACTCACCGGTACCATGCCAGTTCTCATCCTTCTTGGCCTCCACCTGGTGAGAAATAGAGCAGGTGATCTGGAGGTTGGGGAACAGGGGAATTCCTTCTGGAGCCTCAAAATCTGATGCAGGATGAGCAAAGTGGGCGTTGCCACTCAGTAGGATCTGGGGGGCATCGGGCTGTAGCACCACAACATAGCCTTCCACATCAGGAATGGAGACACAGGACTCCTCACTGAAACACCTGTAGGACAGCAGTAGAAAACATCAGTTGCCCCAAGCTTCCAACAACATCATAAAAGATCGCCTCCTGCCCATTACTTCCAGGAAAGGGAATATCATTTTTCCAGCAGTCTTCCTAAAGCTTCCCTACAGCCTGCTGCACAAGGCAGAGATGTGGTAGGAGTGACACCACTGGGATGTGGTGACTTGATCACATCGATAAACACACAGAAAATTAAAACCCAGTCCACACGCTTGGAACACTGCAAGCGGAGGCAGAAGTTCTGCATAGGCACTAGGAACCAGTACTATGGCATCCATTTGGATATTGGATAATTTATCATTTATTTTCAGGAAGATTTTTACCCAT